GGCAGTTAACCGCTTGTCGCGTTCTACTAGGAACCTCGAAAACACCTGCGCAAGTGTTAGTCACAGTCCGCTCGAGTCGCATCCAGATCGCAACCATGTCCGACAAAAGCAACACCGCCCGGGTCCAACGGCCGTCGCTGTCCTCTAACATGAGGAGCAGCTCGTACCTCCAGGAGCACCAGCAGTACCGTGCCCCCAATAAGCCTGAGGGGCACTATGGCATCGACACGGTTGTCGAGGACATGAACGCGACATCGATCGCGACCTCGCCATCACCCATTGTCCCTCCCAAGGGCGTCGCCCGCTTCAACGGCATTCCTTCTCCTGAACACCCGCCGACCATTGTCGAGAGTGGGCTGAGCCACGAACTCTCCCACCCCAACTGTACCCCGGCTCCCGGTACCAGAAACGACAAACTCGTCGCAACTCTCTACTACAAGTCCACGGCGCCGCGCATCTCCAATGCCATTCCTTCGCCCCAGCAGGCGTCCTCTCCGGCCGGGAGCCAGTCTCCCAAGGGTCGCGCCACCGACTCTGAGATCCCCGCCAACATGGCCCCGAGCAGCAGCCTCGACACCTTCCCCCTCGAGCCGCCCACCGCCGAACCAGACCCGCTCGACCACCTCTACGGCTCCTACATCTCGCCCATGTGCATCACCTCTTTCCTCCACCTTATGTCTAGCTTCCCGCTACCTCCCGGCGCCTCCGACCTGAACTCGGCCCATCGCTGCTTGAAGCTCGATCAGACGCCCGACCACCACCCGCTTGTCGTCGAGCTGACCCTCTCTCCCGGCCCTTCGCCCGACTACCTCCCTCTTGCGGATTTGCGCAAGCACGAGCTCATTTACCGGTTCGAGCGTGAGTGGAACGTCGATGTCGCCCTGCGCGCCGACACTCTTTTCCGCAGGTATCCTCGCCTGGTCGTCTTCGATATGGACAGCACTCTCATCACACAGGAGGTCATCGACCTCCTCGCTGCTACCATCAAGGACCCGCCCGACCTCGCCGCCCGCGTTGCCGATATCACCCACCGCGCCATGTTGGGCGAGCTTGAGTTTGATTCCGCCTTCCGCGAGCGCGTGAAGCTGCTCACCGGCCTCCCTGGCACCCTCTTCAACGACCTCCGTCCTGTTCTGGACGTCACCAACGGCGTGCGCCCCCTGCTGCGCGCCCTCAAGCGCCTGGGTGTCAAGACCGCCGTCCTCTCTGGCGGCTTCCTGCCCCTGACGAGCTGGTTGGCTGGCGAACTCGGCCTTGACTATGCGCATGCGAACGAGGTGGTCATTGACGAGGCGACTGGTCGCCTGACTGGTGAGGTTAAGGGCCGCATTGTCGGCGCGGAGCGCAAGCGTGAGCTGCTGATCGAGATTGCGGGCAAGGAGGGCATCCCGCTGGATCAGGTGGTGGCGGTGGGAGACGGCGCGAACGATCTGCTCATGATGGATGCGGCCGGTCTGGGTGTCGCGTGGAACGCAAAGCCGAGGGTACAGATGGAGGCGAGCGCGAGGCTGAATGGTGATAGCTTGCTTGATTTGCTTTACCTGTTTGGGTTCAACGACGAGGAGATTTCGCAGCTCATCCAGTAAAGGAGCTAGTGTTAGGGCTGGTGTGAGTCAGATGGGGAGTAATAGCATACGATTTGGGATGGGATAGCAGTCCTTAGAGGGGTCATTAGTCTATCATGACTGCCCCGTACACGGTATGCGGATGGGTGTCTGGGATGGATATGGGTCTTTGGTATACGACGAGATACCTCCAAGTACGCGGTCGAGAAAAGAAAAGATCAATGGTTGGACACACGGAACGGAATGATGATGATTATCACTTAGCCAGGCGACAGGATAGAATGAATATGAAAGTATTGAATGACCATCTTTCCGCCAGTTTTTGTCGGCCAGTCAACATGATATCAGTGCCGGTCCCCCAAGCAACTTCCCAGGACAGGTCGATCGATCATCGATCGGATCACGGAAACGCACCCCAAGTGGGTATGACGTATGGTTACCGCAGGAGTGGGCAAGCTGCAGTGGACGCATTTTCTGGAATGTGGGTGTCTCCAGACCCCTTTGCAACTACTTTCGTCCTCGTTGAGCACGGTTTACACGAGTTAACGAACTGGTGGTTGCCGGCTTTCTACCCAAGAGACCAAGCAGACTGGTTCCCAATTCCAAGACCAAATGATCATGTACCACAACGTCGCAAAAGCTTGTGATGATCAAAATGCGAGCAGATATATCTCGGCGAAGATAGTGGGTCATAGCGATGATAAATCCGTTGGGACAAAACACTCCGTCTTCTTGAAGTTGGAGAGATTGATACGAGGCATTGGAAATATATTCATTGGCGTTACTGAGGTCTAGAAAGCCCAAACATGTTGCTTTTCTTAGACTATTATAAGAAGACTGTCCAAGAGCTTGGGTGCTGGTTTCCGGTACTGAAACCAAGATATACTTATCGAATATCGCTTGACTGACACTTTTTCTCAACGTCTTGGGCTCATAATACGAACAAAAGTCTAACCATAGGCCTTTGGCAGAAAAGGATCAAGACCATATTCTGTTAACATGAAACTACTCAACTGAATAAAGGTTCGCACAACATCTCTAGTCACGGTACTAGTTGCTGTGCTATCCCGTTGAAGATACTTGTCCTCGTCAGGGTCGGCGTTTGTGGGCTTGGTCCTGGATCGAACCTTACTCGAGCTTCAGTCGTAACTGGCGATTTCCAAGTTTGTGGACGACACGATGCCTCGGACGATCGAGAACTCTCTAGAACACATCCACACATCTCACAGTTCATCCCAAGATTCCAAGATGAAACTACCGCGGTTTGCAATTTGCCACCGAGATTCTGGGCCAAAGCAGCTCGAGTCATCTGAAGCTATACCCAGACGAAAGGCACGAAGGCAACAAGGCAAGAAAGTGCTCGGCGAGAAGCTTCCGTAAATGAGTCCGAATTGGGAAGTATTTTTTTTTTTTCATTGGGCTCAGCGATCCAGTTGCCGCGAAGAACAAACGCCGAAAAATGTCTTCTAGTGTACCATATCGTAGCATCTAGATTTCCTGACCTCATAGCTGACCACACATCGCCCCGTCTGACGCCAATCACGGTGTCTCATCAACCATGGTGATGTCTTCATGGTGAGGTCGAGGTGAACCTCAACGGGCATCCATCTGTGGTTGCCGTGCCACCAGAGGCCACAAACGGGGGTCCGGGGCCGAGCGGCAAACCATTGCAGGGGTCTCGCCGCATGACCCACCGGAAAGTCATCCAATCAGACGAGTGGGAAAAAGAGGCGGGAGGAAGGACGAAACCGTTGCAGCTGTTGAAAGGTCTCCAACGGGCTTTGCCGGTCGTCGGTGGCGGGCAGGGCGGGGACAAAAAAACTCCGGTGGAGGTAGAGGAGGAGGAACCTTGACGGTCAACAAAGGACACGACCCGGGACAAGAGCCCAGATGCGTATTTGGCGTGAAAAAAAAAGCTGATGTTGTCCACTTTGACTTTTGCCAAACCCCACTTGATAGTGTTATCAAACTTTCGCAGACGGGAGCAGATGAGCCGGCGACGACGAGGGCCGAGGAGTGTGTCCATGGCCTTCTCAGAGCCCTAACCCCGGAGGATTCAAGATCACGATTCTCGAGAAATGTGAGGTTTCATTGGCTGTTGCATCTGTGTTCTCGTTGGTCTCGGTGAAGCTAGAGATACGGGCAACCACGAGTCGTGGTTGTCTCGTGTGAGACGCCCGTCTGAAATGGGAATTCTACGCCGCCATTGGCCTGGCTAGCTCAATGTCAAACAATCCAGACAAGCCAGGTTGAGTGGCATTGCATCTGACTACCAACGCAGCCGACAGCATGGCATGGACAGCATGCGGCACCAAAAAAGGGAGCCCACGCACGCTATCTGTTCCCGGGAAAGGCAGGCATCCAGGCCTCAAAACCAACACATCGCGAGGGAGAGCCCCTGGGGACGGGAGCGGACTGTGAAATGCGAAGTGAGAGAAGCATGATCCAGGACCCGAAAAGGATTCGCAAAAAGGCCGGACAGAGTGACATTCATGGCCACGCCTTCACGATATCTCGACGTCGACGTCCCGTACGTTCGCGGTCAACAAGGTTTGAAAGCAACACGCTGCCCCTGTGCGGCAACACTGCGGGGTGTGCCTCACCAGCGAATTAAAATTTTTGAGTCACGCCGGCCGCCAGAGAAACTCATCAGATCCATTGTCGTATCGCCTCTGGTTGGGCTGGAAGCCAGACGTGCCGGGAAAAGCCCAAACTGCATGAGCCCTTCACGGCTAGCACGCAGGCGATCCCATGGAGTACCTTCATATCACTGACAATGTACATATCCACAACGGAACTACACTACGTCGTAGCCGGCTTGTGAAGCTTGTGGGTAGCGTAGAAAAAAAATTCATCAACAGTCGCTTGTCAGTAGCGTTTCCGACCGCACAATGCGCAGCGAGGGATGGAGGGTGAGGTGAATGCCAGGGATCGGCATCGAGATATTGGAGGGGCAAACAGGTGCTTCACAACTCGTCCAATTCTCAGCCGAAAGAGGGGCAGCGAGATAGAGGGGCAAAGCAGGCAGGCAGGCAGGCAACCAGTCGGAAGAGGGAAAGCTCACAATAGGATGGCCGATTGCAGCATTCACTCCCGCCAGCTGTTGATATCAGACTGGTTGATTTTGCGGTCAAAACCATTCACCTTTTTATGTGCAGTTTCTGATCAGACGAAATTTCGGTGATGAAAGCGATGGAGAGGCAAATCACTCTGAAAAGTGAAAATCAGACCTTCAGAATATCCACTTTGGCTAGGAAACAAGGGTGGTTAATGCGATTGAATAGCGCTGAGGGGCTGTGAATGGTACTCGGCGAACAATAATTCGGTACGTGAAGGGGTTAACTTGGGACGGCAAGGCGCGGCATGAACAAGGGTGGAGGTCAAAATTTGACGAGTTTGAGGGCTAGCCCCACTTTTTTATTCCATTTTTTTTGTGCTCCTGCAGGCTGATCTGACCCCACCAAGGCCTTGCCCCCTCCACACTCGACTTAAAATCTCAACCCTCCTCCAAACTATTTCAAGCTTTTCTTCCTCTTCCTCTCTTCGTCGGCATACCTGATTCAAGCAATCTCCTGCCACTTCACATTTTCTAGCGCAAAGTCGCCAGTCAGCACATCAACCGTCAAAATGGGGTATGTTCATCCATCATCACGTCGTCGTCGTTATCAATCAGGTCGCGTGCGCTCGACTCGGTCTCGCATCATTTGCTAACAACAGCTACAGCAAGGAGGACAAGACTCACATCAACGTCGTCGTTATCGGCCACGTCGATTCCGGCAAGTCCACCACTACCGGTCACTTGATCTACAAGTGCGGTGGTATCGACAAGCGTACCATCGAGAAGTTCGAGAAGGTCAGTCACCATCTGCTCAGCTCTCATCATTCGCATCACCATTTTCCATCCGCGTTCTGCCATTTTCCTACCTTTGGGCATTTCCCCGCTGGTTTGGCTTTGTGGCAGCCCCTCGCCTTCTCATGGTGGGGGTGGGTCACACAGAATTTTGCGTGGCCGCGCACAGACCCACTTACCCCGCGTTCACATCAACATCACCAAGCAACACCAACTGCTTCACACAGAGACATGATGCTGACTACCAATAACAGGAAGCCGCTGAGCTCGGCAAGGGTTCCTTCAAGTATGCCTGGGTTCTTGACAAGCTCAAGGCCGAGCGTGAGCGTGGTATCACCATCGATATCGCCCTCTGGAAGTTCGAGACTCCCAAGTACTACGTCACCGTCATCGGTATGTCGCACTACAACTTCACATGTGTCCTGACTCATGCTAACCACTTCAATCAACAGATGCCCCCGGCCATCGTGATTTCATCAAGAACATGATCACTGGTACCTCCCAGGCTGATTGCGCTATCCTCATCATTGCCGCTGGTACTGGTGAGTTCGAGGCTGGTATCTCCAAGGATGGCCAGACCCGTGAGCACGCTCTGCTCGCCTACACCCTCGGTGTCAAGCAGCTCATCGTTGCCATCAACAAGATGGACACCACCCAGTGGTCCCAGTCTCGTTTCGAGGAGATCATCAAGGAGACCAAGAACTTCATCAAGAAGGTCGGCTACAACCCCGCTTCCGTCGCTTTCGTCCCCATCTCCGGCTTCAACGGCGACAACATGCTTGAGCCCTCCGCCAACTGCCCCTGGTACAAGGGTTGGGAGAAGGAGACCAAGGCCGGCAAGTCCACTGGCAAGACCCTCCTCGAGGCCATCGACGCCATTGAGCCCCCCAAGCGTCCCACCGACAAGCCCCTCCGTCTTCCCCTCCAGGATGTCTACAAGATCGGTGGTATCGGCACAGTGCCCGTCGGCCGTATCGAGACTGGTATCCTCAAGCCCGGTATGGTCGTTACCTTCGCTCCTTCCAACGTCACCACTGAAGTCAAGTCCGTCGAGATGCACCACGAGCAGCTTGTTCAGGGTGTCCCCGGTGACAACGTCGGCTTCAACGTGAAGAACGTTTCCGTCAAGGATATCCGCCGTGGTAACGTTGCCGGTGACTCCAAGAACGACCCCCCTGTCGGCGCTGCCTCTTTCACCGCCCAGGTCATCGTCCTTAACCACCCCGGCCAGGTCGGTGCCGGCTACGCCCCCGTCCTCGATTGCCACACTGCCCACATTGCCTGCAAGTTCGCCGAGCTCCTCGAGAAGATCGATCGCCGTACTGGTAAGGCTGTTGAGGCCTCCCCCAAGTTCATCAAGTCTGGTGATGCTGCCATCGTCAAGATGATTCCCTCCAAGCCCATGTGCGTTGAGGCTTTCACCGACTACCCTCCCCTCGGCCGTTTCGCCGTCCGTGACATGCGTCAGACCGTCGCCGTCGGTGTCATCAAGGCCGTCGACAAGACCCAGGCTGCCGCTGGCAAGGTCACCAAGTCCGCTGCCAAGGCTGCCAAGAAGTAAATTTTTTCTTCCTGAGCAAGCAAAAAATTTACGAATCTCCTTGCGTTGCATGAGCACTCGGTTGTTTTGGGCACAATGAAGAGAGGGCTGGTCTGGGATTTTATGACGGATGCAAAACCTCATGTGTGCTGAGGACAAGATAGAGGCTAGATAATGACTACAAAATGATGATTCCCCATGAACAAGCAACTCAATAGTTCCCTCCCCTTCTTCTGCAGTGTGATACAATGCTGTGCTTGTGTATTTTGTCTTTGTTCTCTGTGTCTGTTCAATGCTTGCCTTTGGGCTCCTCGCCTTTTACTTGATCCGCCTTTGGCTCAGTCCTCAGCTGCTTGGAGTTGATTGCCAATCCTAACCACATCACAGACCTTGTACGGTGTACCCTTTTGTCGTGTCGCGCTGGTCTCCTGCATTCGTCTTCATCCATCCTCAGTCACGATGCCCTCCGCCATGCCTACCTTTCGGTATGATACTGGAAAAGGACATTTGTAAGTCTTCATTGTGTCTACATGGAACCGTCCTGTTGTGTGTATTCATTGTCGTGCAAGGCGACGTGCGTAAATGGATATGCTCTCTCATGCCTAGCTCCCTACTTGTCTCCTCTTTCACCACCACTTCTCGACTCTTAACTTTGGTTATCGTGGGGCGTTGTGTATTCACCCAGTGGGACGGACTTGCCCTTCGTATCTCTCTTGCGTTTCCACCTCAGATAACTGATTACTGTAATTTGCGATTACACTACCTACTACTCGATGGAATCATCTGCGAACCCTTTATACTTGCTCATCATGTATGTGTTGTACTTACATGATTTCCGAAATTGTGATTTGCCTGTCATAGGCTATTACTCTGTCTGTTTTCCTGTATGGGATGGGTTAATTTCTCTCTCTAGAATAGATGGTACCTCCTGCGTTGGGCTTTCTTCTCTCGCTGATGACTTTCCCGACCCTCCACTCAAATAGGTAGATGGGCACTTCAACAACAACAATTGTAATGGGAGGGGCGATATAATATGTAGAACGTGTTTCCCTTGGTTTGGAACTTTTTTTTGGGACGGGACTGGGCGTGTGGCGGCGTGTAGTGTAGTCTAGTCTTCGGCCAGATACGAAAGGGTGTATGTATACAGGCAGAGGAAATTTGGTGAGGTGAGGTGAGGTGCTTCTTTGGAATATTCTTTTCCCCTATATCGGATGATGTGCAAAGTCGTTGGATTTGCGGGTGTTGATTCGTATCTTGTTTTTCTCACTCACTCTTCGGTTGTTAACGTTGTTGTAAAACAGAAGACAAGTGGGAGTTGCGCGTAGAAAGTGGTTCACTGAGTTACGTACGGTCTTTGATTTCACTTTTTTGACTTACGATTGCGTGACCAGTTTCTCGACTTTTCAATGTCAATGGAATCTAAGACGACCTGGATGATGACGAAAATGAACTTCGCGGTGACTGAAGGTCGCGGTCTATGTTGAGATGCTCTTGATTTCGTCTGGTTGAAGAAGTAAAACATGGAGGCCGCATTGAGTGTTGTTTGGTGTAAGAAAATGGAAATCACGACTTGTAACTGGAGTCTACCGAATAATCTCGCGAAATTGGCAATATACAATGTGCAGAAAACGAAGGGTTAAAGGTCTGCCAGTTGCATTTGGCGGCCGTCAATGAGCATGTACGTGGTTGTCGGACACCTTTAACCCTACATTGTATATTGCCAATTTCGCGAGATTATTCGGTAACTTGTGTATAGGCTTGAGATTCTACACAAATTGGCGTTCATTGGGATGTTAGTTGTCTGCTAAGAAGACTATCTTTAAATCGTGGAATCCCACACGCTTGATCAATGAATGTTGTGAACAGGATCCGTAGTGAGTATGCATTGTCCCCGTACTACGAAAACGTTGCTACTACTTCGCAAAGTCCATTCGAACGGCAGAGGATGATGAATCAACGTAAGTATTGTTGTTATGTGTATGGTATATATCTAGTATGGACACCATCCTATCCCAGAAAGTTTTCCTCTAACCATCCCCCTTCTAATTTTGACATATCTTACACATTCAACACATAGCGATTGGATTACTTTTACCAATCTTCAAGCAAAACCATGCAAGAACAAATTGAAAACCGCTCCGTTCCACTCCAATCCCAATGCCATTTTCCCTTTTGCCTTTTAGATTTTCCAACCCTCAAGTATACGTGTTTCAACACAAACTCATCACTACACACACCTAAGATTACCTTCCTTGCCAAGCAGGCGGTGCCCTGCCGCTGACAATATCCTCAACAACATCCAAGAACGCCTTGAGATGTTTGGGGTCGTTGCCGTCCCATGGATCGGAGTCATCGACGACCGACTCCTCTCCCTCCTTCCTTTGGAGTGGTGGTAGCTCGTCTAGCCACTCATCCTTCTTGATCTCCTCTTCGAGAGCACTCTTGAACTCTTGCTTTCCCGGGGCACCCGGGTCGCGGTCCTCGATATCCTCGAGGTCAAGATTGTTGAGCTCATCCGCTGCTTCCTGGGCGGCGGCGGACGATCGCCTAGCAACAGGCTCTTCTTCCGACTCGAGAAGCTCGCGGAACCTTGCCTCATCGGGCGTGATGCCAGACTTCCAGTTAATTCCCCTCTCTTCAGGGGTGACGGGCTTAAGGTAGCCTTGCGACATGGGCCCATTGAGGGGGGTAATGGTAGCACTTCCGCCAGGCACAGCAGTGGGATCAAGTCTGGCGGCTTCGCCAAGGATGGGAGGAAGAGGACCCTTCCTGAGCTCCTGAAGATGGCTGGGACCAAGAGCTCGGGTCACCTCGGCACGGACTGCGTCCACGGAGAGCTCGGCGTACTTGCCGCCGCGCTGACCAGCCTCGATGGATCGGTACGTGGCGGTAAAACCCTTGTAATCGGCCGCCACGCGCCGATGGATCTCCATACCCGCGAAGAGATACTTGACGGGAACAATTTCTTCCTCAATCTTCTTAAGAGATGGTCCAGACAAGAGGCGCTTGGGTAGTGGCAGTGCTTCGATCGAAGATGGAGTCTTGAGCTTTCCATCCCAAGGACGCAGGTCGGACTTATTCACAAAGTCGACTATTGGTTCGCACTCGCCTATGCTCTTGACGTCCATGGTAAAGTGGCGGCGCTGCTTGAGTCGGACATCGATGGGCGAACTGGGACAGATAATGTCGCCTGTGAAGGACTCAGTGATGGCACGAAGAGAACTGAAGCCCTTGATCTCGCGGTGGTCGGCTTCAAGGACCAGCTCCAGGTCGGGAGCAGAGGTGGCCTTGACGGAACCGGGCTGCTCAGGGGCGGGTACGAAGCGCATGACGATGTCAGAGTGGTAAAGCCCCTGAGTCTTGAGGTTGTTGGCGAACTTTAGCTCAGAAATCGGAGGGAGCACAGGCATGAAGGTTCGGCTGAGAGAAGTATCGAGACGGCTTGGGAAGCCAGAGGTGGAAGCCGACCCGGCAATACGGCTACGCTGGGCTTGCGCCGGGTCCGGCGATCGAGACGGAGCATGGAGAACATGGCCGAAAATGGCACGGGTGTCTGTCTCCGGTACTTCTGACCACCCCTTCGCGCTCTGGTCCTTGTGCAACTCAGGAAATGAAGCCTCGAGCTGCCGGTGGCGAGGTGCTTCCTTAGCCAGGTTGAGTGGATGAGGAAGAACATCGGCGGGTATCTTTACGCCTGTGGAAGAAGATCCTGCCTTGGGCACCGCCGCAATCCACCTCGCCCACAGCTTGATCCGTTCCTGCCAGGGGAGCTTCGGCTGACAGTTGGGCTCGATAAGGTAGCGGCCGCTTTCTCTCGCGGAAGGTGGAAGGGTCAAGGTAATATGCTCGGTACGCGGCTTCTGGCCAAAAGCAGCAAGAAGGAACCGTAGGACAATATCGGCCATGTTCTCCAAGGTTTCGTTTTGCCCAGGCATGTCAACCCAGGTAACATTGATCTAACAAAAGTCGAAAACGGTAAGCACTTGGTCGAGGAGCAAGGAAGGTACACCGGTAACTTACCTTGTCACCTGCTGGGTCGAGGCGAACAACAGAGTGAGTAACATCACCCACTGACATGAGAACAGCTGGGTTCTTGGCCTGTTTGGTAACGAGACTAAGGTCAAGGCTAATGGTCTTTGCATGCTCGAGAACTCTGTTGACTTCGGAAAGAACAAGTTCACTCATGGCCTTTGGCGCGTTGATACAAATCGCGTTGCTCGAAGGAATGAGTTCGATCTTCTGACCAGCAATCAGAGTATTTCGGGAAATGTCGGCGAGCCATCTCTTCGATCCAACTATAATGTGAAAGAAGGGGTTAGTGACGATGTGGCAAGCATGCTGACCAGAGATTTACGTACGCATCAAAAGTGAAAACTCGGTATCACGCAGGCTCACAACCAAGTGGCCTTGGCCATCAATAATATCGTAGGAAGCCAGCTCCCAGCACTCAAGCATAATCCGCAGGGCAAGCTTCTGCTTCGGCCTCGTGTCCGAACGGTAGTATCCGCGCAGCGTAGGATGTCTGTAGTCGTAGGATGTCATGGCGCCCTCAACGGCGGGAATCCAAGGATAGCGCCTGACAATCCATGGGGGATCCTCTGCAAGCGGCTTCGACAGCACTTGTTGGGCTTCCGCATGATGCATAAGATATTGTTCCAGTTGCCGACTGGTAAAGCTTGTATGAAGCGTCTCCAACAGCTCCGCGAACTGCTTTCCAGTAAGAACGGCCTCCTCAGGTCGTAGTTCCTGTATGTTCTCGAGAATCTCTTCCTCGACGGGATAAAGATCATGCTTCTCCAAAGACTCCTCTAGATCAACCACGGCGGCATGCACAGGAGCTGGCGTGACCTGTGGTGTTTGGCGCTTGCTCAGTTTACCCCGACTGCGGAGGACAACCACTTGCGAGGGCTTCCCCAATATGCCGACAGTGAGGTCTTCCTGCTTGACAGCCATCCTTTGACCCTTGTGTCTGACCCATGTCTCCTGTTTCCTTTCTCTTCTCTCCGCCGGCGAGTACCTTATTATATTGGGCCCCGTTGGTTTATCGCCGTTTTCGGTATTGGGGGCAGCGGCCTCTTCTTCGCGGGCCCTGTTGCTTTGGATCTCGTCGTCGACGGCATCGAAGCCCTGGATGATTTGTCTGGTTATATCCGCCGGGTCCGCACGACTCCGATCGACCGTCCCGTGAAAGGGTTCTGGATTGAATAGGTCTTGTTTTCGGTTCGATTCGTCAGGCACATCGGCACCCTCGCTGAGTTGCCTGCTTATGTCGGCGGCATCGGCTCGGTCAGAGGTGTAGTGTCGTCTGTTGGCAAAGAGTGTAGCATGAGTGGGAGTGACGGCGGCGGCGCGGGTTGCCGTTGGTGGTGTAAATGGTAGTGGCCTTCTGGTCGTTAAGGTGGTCGCGGCACCGGCGAGCTGCAAGCGGCATCGCAGGCAAACAAAGCTGCCGCCGACCTTTCGACTGAGCATCTGAAACGAAATGGGACGAAAAGCCCTAGTATATCAAGAAGAATACAACGCCCTATATTTTCCCAAACCACCTCACAAGAACTCAATGGCGATCGGGATGGGTGGAGGACTCTTGCCGGCGACCTCGAGCCGGGCGATTGATGAATTTTAGGTGGGGCCCGAATCTCTAACAGCACCTTTCCCGGCAGGCAAGAACCCTGCATGTGCTGCATAGCGGCAGACGCGACCAGGCGCGACTTGCAGTTGATTGCGGCATGGCAACTGCTGCAACTTCACTGACACCATTTATGTATGTACATCTAAAAACTTGAACAGGACCCCGCGATTTCACCTCCTTCCTTGCCCCTCCGTAAAACAGGATACTATTCATCTACTACAATACCTGGACTCGTCGTCATTTGAGCCTCGCACCACGCCTTGTCTTCAGTCAACATACAACCGCTTCATCTCTTGAGGCACCCTCATTGCACTCATCGCACAGCATCGCAGGGCTGACCAGAGACCATGCCACCACCACAGAGCCAGCGCCGACAGGTATGGGATATACGGCAGAGAACATTCCCAACCACCATATTGGACTCGGAGTGAACTAACAAGCTCAACTTATAGGCGGTTGAGTCCGATGAAGATGAAGACGTCCATCAACGCCCTGACAGCCCCGCGGACGACGGAAATTCCGACGTGGACCACATGCACGGTGTCGAGCGAGACGAGACAAGCCAGCTCATCAAGAAGCTGGTGCGATATGCCCTCGCTTGCGAATACTCCAGAACACCGATCCGCAGAGACGGCATCAAGGAGAGAGTCCTCGGTGTCCACGGTCGGGAGTTTAAGAAGGTGTTTGCCGGGGCCCAGAAGCAGCTGCGAGCTACATTTGGCATGGAGATGGTCGAGCTGCCCACTAAGGACAGGAACCTTTTGACGGTCGAGCAGAAGAGAAAAGGTGCGTTTACGGCTTGGGTACAAGTCGTCTTTCTCAATAGACGCCGATCTGCTAACTCCTTTCGTGTTTCCCAGCCACGAAATCCCAGAGTCAGAAGGAGCCAACTTCAAACTCTTATATGCTCGTTTCGGGTTTGCCCGAACACCTCAGAGTTCCCGATATCATCGCCCCATCCAAAGTCCAGTCGGCAGATGGCGAAGCTGCATATATCGGTCTCTACACAATGCTCATTTCCGTCATCACACTCAGTGGTGGCGAGCTAAGTGATCCACGCCTGCGACGATACCTCACCCGTCTCAATGCGGCCGAGAACATGCCAAGTTCCAACCCCAACAACGAAAATGCGCCGAGCGAGAAAACTGAGCTAGTCCTCCAGCGAATGATTAAGCAGGGTTACCTTGTGAGGGTTGCGGACAACAAAAACGCGGGAGACGGCGACGCAATTACCTGGCACGTTGGGCCTCGTGGCAAAATGGAAGTGGACAATGAAGCCATTGCTGCCGTGGTCCGAGAAGTCTATGGCGGCGGCCAACAAAACGAGGATCTGGAGAGGAAACTCCAAGCCAGTTTGAAGGTGAAGGATAGGAAACCACCAAGGTCAGCAGCGGCGGGTCGAGCTCCGGCCACAATCCAAGAGGACGAGGAAGAGGAAGACGCGGAAGAAGACGACGAGCCGGACCCTGGCCCGAGTACTAGACGAGGAAGACGGGGGTAAGCACTCCTATCTGGTCTTGGTTCTTTCTGTTCTCGTCTGTTTGGACTAGCGCAAGGCGTTGTTAGGGTATCTGTGTTCTAAAATACATGTGGGCTATGGACAAGGAGGGTAAAAAGGTAAAGGGCCTTACGAGCGACAAGGATAATGTCTGGAGAGAGGGTATGAACTCGTCATTGACACGAGAGCGATTCGTCTCTTCCTCTTCCAACGACGAGCATGGTATCTGTCGTCCTTATCCCCGTATGCGATTCGTTATAGCAAAGCGAATAGCCCCCGGTTGGGCCACTCGTGTCGGTGTGGCAGGATCGAGGCTAGTAATATTTGAATGCACTTGTTGTCGCTGTCCGTCCTGTGCCGAAGGTAAATATCGGCATATCTCCTATTCGCGTTGTCGAATTCTTCGTTTGACTTCCCATCCTCGTGTGCGCTTCTAAGAATCGGCCTTTCGGTCAACAAGCATAGGCTCTTCACCCTCCCTCGGCGGCGGAGGTCCCATCGGTTGCAGCATTTTCTGATAGACAAAGGACAAACGTTAGCTTGAAGCTACATCTTGATTCACTGCGCATATAGAACGGTGACGTACGCGAATAAGTCTTGCGCGAACCTTGGCCGCAGGCTCGTTTTCAGCCAGCGCCATGTACGATAGGAGAGGTGGATGTCCAACGATGCTCGCGTAAGTGTCGCGGTGGATGTTGGTTTTCCACTCCCAACTCGTCGTGTCTGGGTGGCCGGTGCCGATGTACTTGGCCTGGAGCCGCTCGAGTTCCTGTTGGGTACGAAGTTTGTCCGCCTGTTGATCGTTGAGGTTTTGGGTCAGTATGCGCCGCCGGAGCAAGGGCTGGGAAGCAGACGGTGTGGTCCTACCATTATGAGATTAGAATTCGAGCACGATTGTATCGACTGGTTTGATCTGAAAAGAAGAGGTAGGAGGATGATGATGATGATGATGATGTCGAGAGGCACGGATGAATGTTGGAAAGTAGGGACGCTGTACGCCAGTGCGATACGCGTGAGTGGATGATGCGATTGACGACCTGAAGTCGAACCCTTGCGCCCTGCAAGGCTTGTTTGTTAGCGCAGTGCGGCAAATGCCAAGCCTTGAGCCAGTGAACGGACCACCTTCTAGTGGAGCCGAGGGTGGAGTGGTGAAACGGGCTCGACGCCGCGGGGGAGTTGCCCACTGGAGGCTTGGGACTGCACTCCCCCGGGCCCGGGCCTTTCTTGAGTACGCGATGCCGGGGCACTACGCAACTTAACATTGGCAACCTCAACGTGACGGCACCTGCAGATTCGAGGTTGAAACTCGGCCTTCAGTCTTCACAAAGCTGCAGGAATTACCTTGGAAGTGAAAGCCGTCCACGTACATATCTAACTGCATCTCACACAAGGTACAACTCTCTAACTTGTCGATCAACTAGTTACTTCAACTATCAAACTTCCTTCATACACTTCAACATCTCAAACAGAACTAACTCACTCTTTTTATGTTCCCAACCAGACATAAAATACTTTGGTCCATCCACTCTTCCTTTACAAGATACCCATTTTCTTTTTGGTTGTTCTTATAAAGCACGTTTCCACCGGAGTGAACACCGGTTCAGTTTACAACTACAGCTTTTGATACCACTCACCAAAGTCACCATTGTCCTTGTCACTGGCCCTGACACTGGCATTCCGTCTACGAATCACACAAGCGCCTTTGGCCTCGTCTGTCCCACCATGGCAGACGATCTATTATATTTGTCCAGTCTCACCGTGAGCAGAGACAAACAACTCGCCAAACAGCTTGACGATATCCGGTTGCAATGCATAACCCAACACGGTAGCTTACGCCCCAACAGCGCCACTGGTGCTCAACCATCATCAACATCAACAACGACAACATCATCACCACAACCGAAATACCTAGTCACATGCCCGGACTGCTACCGAAAGGCCTTGGACCTCGTCCGCGCACGCTACCACCAGTCACGCGCCGCCGCCGCCGGCGAGTGGTGCACAACGCGGCGCTCCTTCTTGCGGGACATCGACACCATGCTAGCTGGCGCGAAGGAATATCAGGTTGACCCACGAACTATCGACGACCGCGTGCAGGCTGAGCGGGACAGTTGGTACCTCGAGGTCATACAATCCTCACTTGTGCGGCTCTTACCAACCGGCATCGGGAAACTGGACGACGCCGTCGCCCCGGAGGATGCGGACCCGGCGGCAGCGGCAGCAAAGGATGCCATTGTCGAGAGGATAGAGGAATTGCAGCAAGCGCGCCAGGGGGCACGGTCACATCAGAATGTACTTCGCCTGGTCAAGGATATCGACAAGCTACTAAAGGGCGGAAAGGAAGAGGATGGAGACGCAACCATGACTGGGATGGATACCGGGTTCCCGCCTGAGTTTTCTGCTGCAGACACCAGCGATGAGGATCGGGTCGAAATTATGAGGAAGGCGTTTTGCAGCACAGTCGCGGAGGGGGGTGACGAGAAGAACCTGCAAGGCTCTCAGAAGAAGTACTTCGACATGTTCAACGACGGGACACCATTAGGACAGGTGATCGACAGGATATTAGACGACAGGAAGGAGGCAACGGGGGCACATGCCAAGATTGGCCAGGTTAAGAAACGGCTGGAAGATCTCAAGAGGGCGCGGGCGGCATACGAACTACAGAAGACGAAGAAGGCCAGCATATCGGAGCACAAGGTCCCAGAAGAGCTTTACAACCTGCCCGCGTGTCATAACTGCGGACAGATGCCCAAGACAAGGGATTTCTTGACATGCCCTATATGCATGATTTTGGTGCAAAAGGGTGTGAGGGAACGGCAGACTGTGTGGTGTTCGTCGGAATGTAACACCGAAGGCCTGGTAAGTGTTTTTCTTCCTTCCCAAGACATGCGTCTAAACAGCACACATGTCTTCTAAACTCTTTCGCCCACCATATTAACTTTCCCCACCCAGCCCAACCACATCGAAACCGACCACCAATGCGCCTCCAAAGACGACTGCGTCCAAGTGAACCCTCTCCGCCACAGCCACCAACACTACGACCCGGACCAAGACGTCAACATGGACGGCACTAGCACGGTCGCCTCATCGCCCGTCGACTCGGACCCCAACGCCTCGAGCCCCGTCTGCTTCTGCCGCGAGTGTCTGACCACGCTCAAGTGCGAATCCGTCTTCTGCTCCTTGCGGTGCTACGACCTCAACTTCCAGGGTCACCGCGAAAACATCCACATGCCCACGCGCCGGCGGCTGAACATCATCGTCACCGACCGCCAACATCTCGAGTACTTTCCCATGCCGCCGCTTTCTTCGTCCTCGGGTCCGAGCGCGAGAGACAGAGATAGAGACAGAGGAGACAGGGACAGCTACAACAACCGTAATCGTAACAACAACGACAACAACGACGACGGCGGCCCAAACAGCGGATCCGGCGAGAACCCTCCCTTCCTCCAGATTAGGACTCGGTACAAGGCACGGAACATCAAGGACCACGTCATCCCGTTTGACGAGGCCATCAGCAACTGGGAGGAAGCGAACCAGGTTAAGGCGCAAATCTAGGAGATTAAGAAGCGCTGGCACTGGCACAACTAGGAGGGTGGTCGACCTTTGCTGAACCAGGAGGAGGAGGTGTTGAAAGAAGATGAAAGGCTTGGGTACGACGGTACGTACGACGAAAGTCACGACTTTCAGGAAGAAGGCAACATTCAAGAAGAAGAAGAAGAGGAAGAAGAAGGTGAAATCCTGGAAGAAGGAGAAATTGAAAGGAGGAGAAATTTCGCCTCTTGCATCATCAAAATTGAGGATACGGAATGCATGGATGGGATCACAAGAGCCCTTCCTGCTCTCTTCTGGTCATGTATATGTGTATAACGCCCGGAGAAGAAGGATGGGTTGAAAACAAGCATTGGGCGGTAACATGCGTTTACATATCATTGTTCTGGAATTCTGCACAGGGTGGGGGAGAGAAAGAGACAAATGAGTCGTTTGAAGCTCGGGGCTAGGCAACGGGGATGGACGGAAGACGAAAATATACTAAAATAAGAAATTGTCAATTGGTTATTTGCCAGGCGTGTCTCTTGAACTGGAAGTACCTAAACACGCTGCTACGACTACGAGAAATATCATATATGGAGTTGCTGAAGATGGTAGAAGATAGAGACCCCCATTGACAGTCAAACCGGCAACATTTCGATATTTGCATATGGTAAGGAGAGCAACACTAGTTCAAAATCAGCATATGGAATGAACCAGCAACAGGCTATATAACCATCTAATCTTTAGATATCCTCCCGCTCTCTGGCGTATTCACTGTGAGTAGAACTACCTCTGCTTCATCTCCCATCTTTCTCATCAACACATACAAATGCCATAATACAAAACGACCAGCAAGAAACAACAACTGCCTTGTGGCAAGAAAAGAAGATAAGTGTACGAAATAAGAAAAGTAGATAAAGGTTTGTCTGTGGGTATTCCATATCCGTGTCATATCGAAACAATCAAACAGGCCATGCAGAAACATAATACATGAAATACATCAAAGCACTCTTTTGCTCTTTCCCCATAGCAGCTTACCTCCTGTCCACATATGATAACGTACTGCCAGCCTCCGAGGCAAGAACAGGAGCTCCCATACAGTAATGACTGCGATAAACAAAGCTTCCACGTCCGGCGTTATGTAAAGGGGTATCCCAGTGCCAATGTACTGCATCCTGCTCAAAGCAAATTCAAAGACACACTATGTCGTCAAACGTCCGCCCCGAAACGGCGTGCGGATTCGATACCCGATGGTACTGCAGAGATACCATTTCTGAATATCGGAATAAGAGGCATATCAGCCAGGCTTTGGCATTCAGAGCTTGCCAGAACCACACTAACGAAGCTTTGCGCCGTGCTGCTTCAGCCTGCTCGTCCTCCAGTTCTCGTACCACTGTTCCCGACTGGCCTCCCGCAAATCGGAACGCCACTCGTTGAAGACGGCATCCTTAAGACGAACAAAGTCGCAGTGCTCTTCATTGTAGGGATCCGCAAAACCCCAGGGGAATTTGCGGCCGATGACACCGGGCTCATAGAGGTCTGGGCTGATGATCGACATGGGGACGAAGGGAATCTCATCCTCGGCAGCAGCCTCCTCTGAAGGCTTGTGGCGGCGAACGGAGCCATTAGAGTGACGGTTAGAGCTGGGTGAAGACCCTTGCTTTTCGGCAGGACGGTCTTCGTCATCAACAGCCTCCTCTGTGTCACTGTGGTCGAACACAGGATTCTCGTCTTCTTCATCGATGCGGTCAGAGGAGTCGTCGTCATCTGCGTCATCCAGTCCAAGGGCCTGCAACGGATCCAGGTTGGCCCTCTTAAGGCTATCCCAGACCGCCCTCTTCAGCACGCTCATGTGCTTCGTCGTGATGGTGTCAGCCTTGGCTATAACCGGGATCACCGTGGTCTTTCCATGGAGTGTTCGCATAACTTGTAGATCGAGGTCTTCGTCCAAGGCTCCCACGGTACGAGAATAGGGAGCGTGCCTGGTACCATTGAGATACATGTTGCCAGCGCCGGCCCAGCTGGCTGCGATGTTTCGATCAAGTCGTGCAGGATCGAGGAGGAGGAAGACGGCGTGGATGTGGGTATCCTGTACACCAGGCGATCTCACGACCTTCATCTCCTCTACGAATGTTTCCTCAAACTTGCTCTCCAAGAAGCTCGATAGCTCGCGGAGCTGCAGATCAACGACATTCTTTTCCAGCCCCTCCGAATCCCACAATGTCAATCCGACGCGTTCGCCGTCGAACTCGGTTTCGAGATAATGCGGAATGAAGTTACCGGAAGGTGAGGGTTTCGGAGAGTGGTCATGCTGGTCAACGGGCTTTCCTCGCTTTTTGGGTAGTGCCAAGGCACTCTTGAGGAACTCCAAGAACGATGTTTTTCCCGAGTTGCTGGCACCGACAACGAGGACGCTGTTGAGTAGAAAGTTAGAATCGAGGAGTTCTAGCAACAGTCTTTTGTTCACACTTACTTGAAGGCAGTCGGATCCTTTCTTCTGCGGACTCTTCTGGGGCTGTTGATGGTGCTGACTGCACTGCTAGCATAGCTGTAACGTCCACGATGCGCCATACTGGTGGCATTGGCATAAGGGTCGAAGCCGTTGGGAATGGGAGGAGGCGGAGGGACGTTGTATACTGAGCGTGGAGCCTCCATGGATGGACGAGCAGTAGAAGATATAGAGTAATTAGATGAGTGTTCGGCGCCCGTTGAGCCCGTGGTTCCTGAGATGATTGCGAGTGAATCGGGACGAACTTCGGTACCGAGCCCTAGATGGGGAGCGGGGGCTCCGTTGTAGAGGGCGGGCAGCCGAGGAGGGGACTGAGGAAGTGCAACATCGCGCTGGCGTTGGAGCTCTTGCGCTTTGGCCTGCTGCTGCTGCTTCTTCATGTCGCCACTCTTGGTCCTGCGTAGTAACATTCCTCCAAAGCTAGATCGGCGAGCAGGAGACTGGTTCATAGCTCTCGGTGAGAGACCAAATGCAAGTGATGCGTGTCGAGCTTTGACTGCGTATGCTTCGGCAGAAAAAGGCGGCCGACTTCAATCCTCGGCAACTGCGATAAAAGGCTGGGCGAGTACTGGTACCAAAGTCGAGTGGTCGGCAGGAAGCAGACAAGTTCGACAACTTCGACGAGGAAGCGATCGATGACCGGGCTACGGGTCTGTCAAGATGGTAGTTAGCTTTCAAACCATGGTGAAAGGAAAGCGAGAAGTTGGAAGTTTTCGGGGATATGTCAAGTCCAACTGGCCGCTTCGCTGCCAACCTGTGTTGGTTGATGGCGTTAAGAAGGCATCCATTCCATTGCCTCGAAGCGGGCAGGAGCTGATCGAGGTAAGTTTGACTGGAAATAGAAAAAAACTTACCTAGCTAGCGTTTATCTGATAAATCTCACAGTGACTGTCGAGATCGAAAGATGGAAGGGCAAGCGCGAAACACAATTCCGCAAGTGCTACTGGAAAGTGCAGGTCTGTTTTTCCTTTGTTCCAATAACCCTCCAAGGCCAGGACTTCTCAGTTTGCGGTCGATATCCCGAGGGCAGAACGGGTGTGTTTCGTAAACCGGGACCGGAATGCGGAAGGTGCAGAATATTGGGAAGAGCGAGCGAAGGGTGAGTGGCAGTTGCCGTTAAACGGTTGAGGTCGGCAAAGTATGGATCAAGTGAAGGGAACCAAGGGTCTCGGGCCTCAGCCGAGATGCAACCGAGGAGTTGGGAGTAAAAGGTATCAAGTTCTCTGGACTGAGATTTCGTCAGTACACTCATTTCATCTTCATTCTCCTTGGTCCGAGAATATCTTTCCATCCTCGTTACATTCAACCTTATTGTCAAACTGGCTCATGCCTCTTTCAATAGCTTCCATTTACAACTGGAAACCACAGTTGAAAATGACAAGGCTTGACTCCCTCAAACAACTCTGACGCCTTTACCCTGCCAACAGCCATTGCGCGGTACTGCTTGTCCTCGAACAGTTCTCGACAAAATCATCGCACTAGGCCAACACGTCCAATGGCATGTGTGTTGCTGCGGCGCAAAAGAACTGACAACTTACGTGAACCTTGACGGCCTCAGGGCGAAACAACCCAGATACGAAACGAGGGGATGGCGGTTTGTGGCCGTACAACACGGTGGTGCGCGCGAGACTTGCTCAGCACGGAGGAGGGAGCAAGGATCGAGATGGATGTTTGTAGTTGTGTAAGAGGATAAGGAAGAGGAGGATAGACGACAACCAGCTGTCGATGAGATCACAAACGACTTTGGACCGATGGAGGTGAGTCGCAGAAAGAAAAACGTTGGACGCGCAGAAGAAACAGAAACAGAAACAGAAAAGAAGACCTTCCCGACCAGAAGAAACGTTGGTCAGGCACAAGACAAGCGGATTGGCTGGCGGCGAGGTTGAATCCCCGGCGGATGTCGCATGGGACAAGAGCCTAGGATGACCAGGGTGGAAGCAACCACTCAAGGTGGACGGGGGTCGAGCTGCACCCTTAACTTCGTGCCAACTGCTTGGTTGGGCTAGCGAGGGTTTCTAGGCTCTCCACCTATCACCATCTGCGACCCTGGAGATGAGATGGGTTGAACAAGTTTCCCGATTCGAAACGCAGAAACCGGGGAAGCGCAAGAGACACAAGCCTTGGCTCTGGTGTGTCTTTGCGCCTTCAACCCGCTGCCTCGCCGCCTCGGTCGATATGCTTTCAGGTCTCAAGGGCACAAGGACACACTCGTCTTCGAGATATCTTCAACCCTCAAGCTGATGGCACGGACGGTTTGGATCGACCCCTATTCGATTGCAGCGGGTGATGGCCTGCTCTCGTTCCAACCGTCCAACGCCGGCCTGAGATCGTACCAACCAATCTCTCATGTACATGCCTAGGTAACCGATCGTCCAGACTCCAAACCCAGTCCTGACAACCGGCACACCTACACAGGGGAAACACTCTTCAAAAAGACGTCCAGCACCATCGAATCTTGACTGTTCTCTCGATGCTCTTGATTGATGATCACCCCCCTCCTCGGCCCTCTGCAGATATTCGTGTTGCACAGGGAAGCAAGCGCCCTTCTCAGTCAACCAGTGACGACTGTGCACGCGTCTTTCCGTCATCCATCGTGTTCCCAAGGCGGATATGGCTACACGGAGAGTATTAAAGCTGAAGCCACGTGCTGTTGTGCTCACTCGGAGCTATTCTCTTTGTCCAAAGTTCCAGAAGCTCAGACGGGTCGTAGGGCTTGGAGGAGGAGGCGTGGAGGGCGTGTAAGTACTCAAGCCAGGCCAAATCCGCACTGGAGAGAACAAACATCAAGGGTCACATGGAATGATATTTGCGGTTGCGAGCCAGAGCCAGAGCTGGGTGGTGGGAGTTCAGTTCTCAGTTCTCAATTTCATTTCAGGAGGAGACGTAAACAAGCCCCCCGCCAGTTTTTAAGCTCTGTGGAGAGAAGTGGCTTCAGTGGGTCCGCCTCCATTCCCTCGTGGTGCAAGCCCCCTGCTCGCCCTGTTCGGTACCTGTTTCACATTGAGACAGGGCGAACAAGATCTCCACCAAATATTCAACGCTATTCCTTTTTGGGGTAGTGGCCTAAGCGCTTTATGCATGATGCATCACATTGGAAATTCGACGACGAAACCCCAACTCCCTTCCGTTCGAGCATGCTGTGACTTTGGACTAAAGAGTCCGTCGGATGAATCATCTCAGTCTACAGGGGGGAGAGTCGAAAATGGTTATGAATGAGACGTCACCAGGATGAATGTTGACGAATGTGGACTGCGTGGCCGACAATTTCTCGGAACAGGAAACATATGAGTTCCTTACCATTCCAGGGACCAAATTGGGTAAGAAGGGTCTTGTATCAGAGATCTCCACTTGGATGACATGTCTCCATCCAGGCGGCTCCCATTTCTCCAATAAGCCACAGTTTCAGACACACATGGGCCTCTGGGCATTGGAAGCGCGTGCAAGAGGAACGGCATCGTTCAACATTTCGCGGCCATAAGATTGGCCAAGAAAGAATCATCACAATAAGTTGAGAGCCCATGTCTATCCTGCGCCCCAACGCCTTGCGTACCCGATATCAACACCAACCCGTGCGCCCCGGGTATCCGGTCTAGATGTCTTTAATACACAAAGAAGCCGCCCTTCCATCGCTCACGGTGGGTGCTAAAAGGTACAAGTCTCTTGCTGATAAGAAATATCTGTCATCAACCACACATAAGCACAGCCTATGACTGATAATGACCGATCAGCCCTCAAAGACATTATGCTGCAACTCCACCCCAAACTCCTTCGCGACATCTCTCATCCTCGCCTCCAACTCATCCTCCATACCTCCGCCGCGATGAAGCAACTGTCTCACCCGGAAGAAGTAAAACGCCACGTCCGTCAGCGCCAGCACGCACTTGAACAAAAAGTGATGCCAGTAGTTCACCAACCGCTGTCCGAGCGGCAGGTTCGGGTCCTGGAACAGGCTCCGGCTGGCCCACGTGCCCATCATCTTGATGCGGTTCACCGGCGAGCCCAGGTACTGGTTATTTCCCTGGACGATTCTCATGTTGCGGCCGATGAAGATGAGCTCCTTGGGCCACTTGTCCTCGTCCGCGAGCACGTCGCGGATCCCCTGCTTCATGCGCGCCTGCATCTCGTAGGAGCGCTCGCTGGCCGTCTTGTTGCCGTCCAGGTGCTTCATCAGCTTGGTCTGGAACCCGCCGTCGTCGCCTCCCTCGTATGGCCGGAGGAGCGTTGCCGAGGCAAAGAGGTCGGCGGCTTTGATGCCCCATTCGTTCGTGATCTCCTTGATCTTGTTGTTGTCGAACGTCATCAATGCCTTCCAGAACTCGCCGTATTCGTGTCGGAACTTGTCGCTCATGTAAACGTAGAGGCCATGGTCGATAAGGACGAGCTCGGCTCGCCCGTTGGGCAAACGCCGGATGAAAATGTTGCCCGGGTGCGGATCGCAGTGGACGACTCCCCATTTGAAGATTTGGGCCGAGAAGAGATCGACCATGGTGGTCATAACATCCTTTGTTGAGAGTCCGAGGCCACCCTTGCCGCGCCGTCCCTTCCACTCGGTCCGTTCGGGCTTGATCATATGCGTGTAGCCCTGTGTGCTCTTGCGAAGCGCGCTCCGGATGGCGGTCATGTCGGGCGGGTCTAGTTGGGCGCCGTGGACGCCGGCTGACCCGTTACCGTAGCCGCCTAGCCAGGGCCGGGTCATGGCGTCCTTGTCCCACAGTCTGATGCCTTCGATCCATTCAGTCGTGAGGACGCGCTTGGAGCTTAGTTCGGGGTAGACCGGAGGTACGTAGACGCGCCCCCTCAGGCTGGGCTCGTTCTCAACAAGCTGGCGCATGATCTCGGAGTTCTTGGCCTCGTTCTCGAAATCGGTCTCTAGTCGTAGTCGCTCGCTGGTGAAGGGCACCAGGCTGTAGAGTGGTAGGTCGAACCACCATGAGTAGACCCACGTCACAACTCTGTCAAGGTAAAAGGTCAGTCCCTGTCGAACCAAAAAGAACTCTCCTCTCTGGAGACTCGGGCTCCTCGTATGTACGACGGGAGATGCTCACTTGAAAGCCCATAAATCCCAACCAATCTGCTTCTCGATCTCCGGTTTCTGTATCTTAATCGCCACCTCTCTCCCATCCGGTAACCGCGCCCAGTGCACCTGCGCCACGCTTGCACTCGCCCTTGCCGTGCGCTCCATCACTCCCTTACCCTCCGCCCCGGAAAAGCTTATCCCAAATACCTCCTCGACGCTCCTTCCGCCAAAATCCTCCCGGATCACCTGCTCTACCTCCTCCCAAGAATCCTGCGGCGCGTCATCGAACATGCGCGAGAACATGGCCTGAAACTCTGGTGGCAGAACCGCACTCTGCATGGCAATCGCCTGACCGATCTTGAGGTACAGTCCGCCATTGTGACGGAGCAGGTCAGATAGCCGCTCGGCGTTGCGCCGGTGTAGTTCTGGGATGCCCTCAGGAATGCCGATCCAGGGGATCGGAAGCGGTTTCGGCCGGAAGTTGAGCTTATAGTCGGCCGCAACGACGAGGCCGACGCCGAAGGTGCGCAGGGAGCGGGCGATCCCGGAGGCGTAAACGTACTTGTCGGTTAGGTAGGCGAGCCCGAGGAGAGACGAAAGTATGAGGAGTCTGCGCGCCCAGCGGCGGGTGCGGGTATAGGAGCGCGCGGGGCGCGGGGCACCGAGTTTGGACGGCGACGGGGGGGTAAGCGGCTCGAACGGACCGGTGGAGGGCCCTGGTGCTGTAGTAGCGTGGGACCAGGTTGAACGGCTGCTGCGGGAGGAGGAGTAGAAGCGTTGTGGTATTCGGTTGTGTATCGTCGTTGTTGATGTCGTCGCGGAGGCACTTCTTAGTCGGCTAACGTACGTACGTGTGCGTATAAGGGATCTCGTCGCGGCTGTCGCGGATAGAATCGCTACCCCAGCCACTGAAGGGTTTGGACAGTGGCTGGCTGCTATTATGCTTTGGCGCAACATCGCGTCGTTGTGTTGTCCCTCGCGGGGTGGTGAGAAGGTTGGAGGACGATCTATTAATGCATGCCACTTGCGGTTGGCGCTCCTCCAAAACACTGAGGTATTTGATCCGCTCGAAAACGTCCTTAGAGGCGCAAGACAGCCCTCGATGAGTGTTTGAATGCTGCGCGTCGGCGTAAATGAGGGTTAACGAAGAAATGGAAGCTGGAAGTTGGAAACAAATCGCCCGAGTGTTCCAACTGACTCTACCAGGATCGGAGTTCGATTACGTAGTGCGCTCCAGGCCTTGGAGCCGGCGCGGGGCGCTAAGGCGGCTGAGCGGGACCCGGAGGACCCGGACAGGTGGCCTCGGTCCACTAAAACCCCGGGATCGGCCGGAGTCTATCCGATCAGCCCGACTTCAATGATCCCGCTGTTCGGGTCCGAGCTCCAACATCGAGGCCGATAAGGTCCCGTATGTGGTCGCGAATAAAAGAGGAAGAAAAAGCGTAGATAAAGTAAAGGTAAAGCAAAACCCAACCAGTCGCATGCTGAGGCACTCATGCTGGCAAGTCCAACAGGCCAGCACACTTGATTTTCTTGTCACATCATGAGACTACCACAACGTTGATCTGTCGAGATGCCTACACAGTTACTACCGTCAAAGGAATTACATATATGTATATGTTGTACATGGCAGACGGTCCCTCGCAAGTCCAACTAGCGAAGGCACCATCCCCGTGTGATTTTTTGGCAGGTTGCAGGATCAACCAGTTCTACCGATATCTATAGTACTTCTATAGGGTTATCGGTCCTCGAGTGTGGATAAAACAAACACCAACTCAATAATCTTCACTGCCTGAAGCATTTTTGCATATGCGACACCATCCCTTGCCTGGAACATCAAAACTGAAAGCGACGTGGGAGACGAGCGGCTCCTCAATACATGACCATAGTGAAATACATTGATTTATGTGGATTACAAGCTTGGAGCTAGGTATTGCACTAACCGCATTAACATCCAGCACTGGGATCCCATCCCGGTATCCGACACAATGTTGATCCAGGGGATTATGGAGTACGTATGCGGACAGTCTCATCTAAATCTCAAACGAACATGGAGACGTTGTTGGAATGAACTGTACACATGATCGCCAAATACGCGAAGGTGAGGAAGGGTAGCGGATTTTCAAGTAAGGATAACCCAAAAGCGGCAGTGTGAATGTTGCTTGGTACTGGGGTCAACACAGCACGAACTTCGCCTCGAAGATCTTCATGGTGAACAAAAAGTTTTACAACCACAATTGGCTTACCGTGAACTGAGCTCGGGATTATTTTGCCCATAGAGCGGATTCTCCTTTTTCTCCATATGTGTGATACAACATATGGATGCAGACGGGTGTTTTTTTTTTTGAACCGGTCAACGTTGCATCTATATCTTCCCTGTCTGATTCTTTACATCTCTCAGAGGCAATTGCATCCGGCCGTGTCCCATAACCTCAACGTTAACAGCTGTGCTGTTTAGAGGGTAGTGATATTGAGCCGTATTGTTGGACAGTTATGCAGTATTCAATTTCTTTGATCAGTGTGCCCAGCGGGCGCGGTATGCCAGTCAGCGGAGGTGGACGGCAGGTCGGGATGGATATATTGTCACTCCTATAGGCGACCGTACAAGTGGCATGCCCGGAAAAGGGGTACTAATGGATGGTGATATATAAAGCTGGTAGCGATAGCGCGTCGTGCAATTGTTGGATCTCAGCATGTCTGTGGCACTTCGGATCTCGTCGCAATTTGCCTCGAGCTGATGAGCGTCACAACTCACTTCGAAGTTCGTGTCTGTCCCGAGTGTCCGTCTGGTCCGATAGGACAACGGCTTCTGAAAGTCTTTCTCGTCGATCTACATTTTCCATTCATAGACGTTAAGCGCATAGAAAACATGGTTTCATTTGAAATGCCTTGAAGCAGAGTGTCGGCCTGCTTCAGCAGTTCTACACTCTGCTCCAATGAATGAGTTGATTCAAGTCCATTTGGCGACAAGCATGTTTTGGGGAGGCTTCAGTCATCATCCTGTGACAACGTACATGTAATTCTAGAGCAACCCTATGTACCATGAATCCGGGCCGTCGTCGTGCCCGCTATCTACTTTACGTGACAATTGCTCGCGATAATTCCACCGATGGTTCATCTGATGGAGGGGAAGGGGAAAAGAAGAGGCTAGGACTAAGAAAAAACTGTTGGTTATGGGGATGGACCCTGGAAAGCACTTACGACTTGTTGGTTCGACGCTGCATACAATAATCCCAAGCTAAAATGAGAAGAGGCAGTCATATCCGCGCCGCGTCCCCTTTTCCCGACCTGCTGGATCAAGAAAACAGGACCGCCAGAGATGCGAACTGTAAGATGAGCTGTCATTGGTCCTTTTGTGAGAAAAAGATGCATTCTGTCGTATATGTAGAACGGGAATAAAGGTTAGGTCAGCGCCTTTCCCGCGGCAGAGACATCCATAGTCTTCGATAGAGGTAGGGCGAAGCAATCGGCTTTTGAAGAGCAGCCGCTCGATATTAAGCCTTTTGACATTCAAGAAGGCGGACGACGGGAGTCGGTAAAGGCGTTCGGCGTTTTCTAAAAGCGCATCGAGGCTCACGGAGTCAAACCCCGACTGGCGCAGTTGCAGACCGTGGGGTGTCTCAGTCCGCTTCGATTCCATGGAATGGCTGGCCTCGTCTGGCCTCTTGGTTCTTGTCTGACGGCCACTTGACGGCATTCAAGACCCAACTTGCAACGCCATGACCGTACCGGATGACGTTGACCATGTTTAAGGTTGGTCGAGGTACTCGTCAGGGCTAGAAGCGCCCAGTTTGACCCCGTGCTGGCACGGGGTCAGGTGCATAGATTCGCGAAAATTTTGGTACTTCCCCCCCATATAAATTAGCGCTGTAACCATGTCACACCGTTTTTCTGAAAAATGTTGCATTCATGTATGTAATTTCCGTCAACCCAATAGACATCCCTGTATTAGACTAGCAATTCAACAAAGTAAGGTCAATATTATAATCAGAAATTTTGATGATTTCAACATCGCTACTTTCTAGTATAGTATTTTGAACTATAGGTTTCTCTACTATAGAATCTAATTGTATACCAAAGTCCTACTCTTTAATTGGATTAGAATTAGGAAGTTCTTAACTATAGCCTAGTTTATAGTAATACGTACTAATATTAACCTTATGTAGCGCTTCAATGTATTCTTCCTATATTAGTCTATAAAATTAATTCTCCTCCTCCTCTTTAAATAGGAGAAGTTCCTCCTCTTTAATTTTGATAACTAGTTCCTTACCTATAATAAAAGCAGTAATAACCTCTTTGACGATAAGTTGGATGGGCTCGTCGTAAATCTATAAGGTAATAGGTTTCGGACCGTTATTTAGCGGCGCCTAATAAAGAGGGAGAATGATATCCTTCTTTAATCTACTTAGCCGTATAGCCTTTATTTATATAGCCTTCCTTCTTACCTCTAAGAAGTATCCCTATCGTACTCGCTGTATAAATTTATATTATTTAAATATTTAATTCTAATCTTTAATATTATTTAAAATTAAGTTGATTACTATATTCTATTCTATACGAAATTTACCAACAAATTATAATTCAACCCTCTTATTCTAAGCTTTATTCTATTGCTTAATTTTATATATATTGAACTACTTTCGTAGGGTAATCCATTTAGTATTGAGATCTTTCTTACATTAGTGCTACTTCTCTTTAGTACGTAATTTAATTTTATAATACTCGTTTACTACTATATAAAGACGAATATTATTAACTTTAATAAAATTAGCGCGAATAATTAAATAGTTAATCGTACAATTTTCTTTCGTAATTATTTCCTCTAATTACCTTCTCTTATTAAACTGCTATACTTTAATACTAGCAACCCCTATTAGTATAATTACGTTAATAGATTTATCCTTCTTAAATATAATATACCTTATAATAGGATTAAGGAGTATCTTCACTACAATTAATCTAAGTAACCCTTATTAAATATACGTATCGTACCTTAAAATCGTAACTATATTAAGAGAGGATATTATTATTTTTGCCTAATCTTTCTTAATATAAAGTATTAATAGGAGTATTCTTATACTATAACCCTTATAAGAGTTATTAATATTGAACTCTTTAAGTCGTTAATTTAATAAGGGTTCATAAGTCCTTTCTCCTTCATTTATACCTATAAATAGGTTCGATTATTTGCAATTTACTTTAATTTAAGCCAACCTTTATCGTTTTGAATCGTAATATATCCTTTTTTTAAAAAAAAAAAATTTAAAGGTTGGTTGCTAATATAAAGGGGTCTTATAGCTTATTAAATACAATAGAAGGGTTATATAGATAAAGACCAGTCTTTACTTATACGGATTGGATTGTTAACTATTTAAAAAATTCGCTTTTAATATAAAATAATTTATTTAAGAAGGTAAGTTTACTATATTCTATATTACTATATATTATAGTCTTAAAAATATCCTTTTAATAATAGTATTTATAAATTTGAAATACTTTTACATCGAGCGGCTAAAAAATATAGGTCAAGTAAGGAGGTAGTAGAAAGAGGATAACGTTATTTCAGTAGTATCGCTAGTAAAATTCAATAGTATAGTAACTACTATGGTTATTTAGTAGTAAAAAACGCTTCTCCTCTTTATTGAAGGGATAAGAATATTCCTCCCAATAATTAAACTAGTCGAAAGTAAGCTAGTTATTAGTATAATTGCTAGGGGAAGTAGCGATAATAGAGTAGCCGTTGAATCGGTTGTTGATATAATTCTCGCTAATATTAATACTAGGAAGAATAATAAACGCAGGGACTGTACAGCTAAAAGTAGAAATATATTTAATAACCGTTATAAGCTTTCGAACGTTTGGGTTTAGGGTATATATAGTTAGTATTTTAACGTACAATTAAATAGTATAGGATTTAAATTATATACCGATTTTAAACCTAGACTTATCTTTATTCTATATATTATTTAGTATAATATCGTTCTTAATAACTGTCTCTTTCTATAATTTAAATACTTCCTCTATATTAATCCGAGATTGGACTGCCTTATGTACCTACGCTAGCGATTTCGTACGTACGGATTTGAACTTTGATTTAGTTATAAAACGACGAATTTAATACTAATTAATATTAATTTTACGACCGTTAGTTCGAATAAACTACTTAGTCACGTAAATAATGTCCTAGTTTATAACCTTCTATCCTATTGAAATATTAAGATAATTAATTAATGAATAATAATAATTGTAAATAAATAATAATAATTATAAATAGCGGGTACAAACCGATAAATATTTATATATTTACCTAAATAAATAACGCGAACTCTTCCTCTTTAATTAACTTTTTTACTCCGCTATTCTACG